TCCAGGGCCTGAGAAACAGTGGTTGTATCTCGCTTGCGTCTTGCGCGGTCCCTCATTACAGGATCTGACACATCGTTGCGTTTGATATCTAGGGTCACAACAGCGGGCACTTCTCTTCGCTGAAGTATCAAGGCCTCTACTGTCTCGAGTGGAACCAAAGACACAGCAACCAAGAGAGACAGAACTCTCCACATTGTGTCCCCCACCCTTCTATCCTTTCTTCTCCGGGCTCAAAATCGCTCAGGTGCCGCAAAGTTGCGGGTTTTATTTTGTGGAATGAATTTCCAGTGTGGGCTCACTAATGGTGCTGGAAATGAGCTGGTACAGGGTATTTATTCCGGCGTTCGTTGGTTAGAGGGATAGGATAGGAGGTTGAAGCGGACTGTGACGATATTATATCGCAATAGAGAAAATCTAGTAATGAGAAAACGGATAGTTTCTGTTTTTGACCTCCACACATGCTTGAGGAGAGGGGGCATATTGCTATTATATTGGAACATAATACGTAGTAGGCAGTAGGCACACTGGGTTTCAGTTGTTGGTCCGGGACTAATCGGCTGATTGACTCGGGCCCAGATCTCCATGCCCCACTTATTCTAGGCTGAGCTCTCGGACAGGACAGTATTATTCTGCTGTCGTCATCACCTGTGGGTCCAAGAAGATACTAATTCCGGATCTCTTCTAGAGAGACGCATAAGCATACAGGGTGATTCAATTAAAATACAATGTAGTATTGTACACGGAGTACAGGATCCCATCATTGGTCCAAGATAGTAATTTGTACAAGCTACCTAGCCTAATCTTCTACCAAGTGTCATGCCCAAATAGTGTAAGCTAAGAGACTCCCTATTGTACGCCACAGTTGCTTCTTTATTGTGTTGGGTCTTGGCATACTATTGTTAGAAGTATGGACACGGAAGTTTCAATGGAACTGCCATTTGGGCGAAAACGGCACGCCCGGACGGATTTGGTTTGCAAGCCAATTCCGGCAGTGATTCGGCTAGCTCGGGCGGGAAAGGAGAACCTTAACAGTCTCACTCTTCGGTTGCGCAAATGTTTATGTAATGTTCAGCCGTAAACTGAGTAACTGGGTACTGAAGTGTGTGTGTGTGGCAGGTGCGGTGTACACCGCCATGATCAGATTACCTTTTCCGCAGCCACAATCGACTGATAAAGGCTGTAACCGATATATCACGTGCGAGTCAATGAATAAAATTAGACGACTACTCATAGAGTCGAAATCTAGCTACCTAGTAGTCCTTTCATTTCTGGAACTGGTATGGCGGCCTTGGAGCACCCGTATATACTGCATGTACTGTGTATGTGGGCAGATCACTAGTGAATGCATGTTTGAAATCTGCGTTTAGGTCTACAGGTTCTTAAGATAATAGTCAACTTTTGCACCTAGTGGTTGTTATAAAAGAGGCGTTTTCGAAGCTGAGATCCGTATGAAAAACGTCCTCGTATCATGGTTATGGATCTAATGTCGTTGGTGGGATGGACGCCACATTAAACAACCACTCTGCGCATATTGCTGTAGATATTGGCTATGCCGTTCACCCGCAGTACCGAATAATATCGAATAACCCACATGTTTACGTATACAACGAAGTAGCAAGGGATATAATTTGTCGTCATTCGAAGTGGAGCATGTGAGATGTACTGTGCGCCCTGAACATGCACGTGGTACGGGGAGTCTGATTAGCCTGTGTGCACTCAATGAGACTTCCGCCTTGCTGTCTTTTCGTATCGTAGTGATGTAGCATGCTGGCATAGGCAGCAGCGATGAAACATGTGTTCTGGCCCAGCGCTAGCCGAAAAACTATAATCCTGAAGCCTAAAAGAGCCGCCACCAATCATTGCTTGAACACGGTGTGTCAAGTCATATAAGCCTTAACAACATCTGTTTGGCAAGGTTCGTCGATTATTCCTTAGGCAGCTCCTAGCATGTACCAGAATATGATATGAATTAGTAGCGCATGGTAATCACATTGCCAACAATCCTGCCAACACGGCTAGTCCACCGGGAATCATATGTACATCTGGAGAAATGGGGGAGGGCTAGAGATTGGAGAAACAAGCGCGCAAACAGCGAGGGCGTAATGGAAAGGCGTGACGGAACGTCGCACCAGAATATACCCTCACAAGCCCATAGCTTCTCTGACTCGTGTCATAGTCAGCTCAGCGTTGGCTCGAGCGGCTCGAGCACCTTTCTCTGATATGTCCTCAAGGTAGCCAGTCTTATCCTCCATCAGCGAGAAATATTTTTCTCTTACAGGCTGCAGGTGATTGGATATTTTATGGGCGAGGTTCTCCTTAAGTGCTCGCAGACTGGCTGACTGGAACTCCAGAACTAACTCTTCACACGACCGTCCCTCGAAGTGGCTAAGAAGCTCCAGAAGATTAGAGACGCCCGGCCTGCGAAGAGGATCGTAAGTTATTGTTGTTTCAGAGTCAGTAAGCGCCGCTTTAAGCTTTTTGTGGATCTGGCCAGGTGAATCAGTGAGCAGGATTCTCGACCGTTCGTCTACATGAGATTTCGACATCTTCAATGTTGGCTCTTTGAGAGACATGACTCGTTTTGCAGGTGCTGATAGGTGAAATTGAAGTTAGTCAATATTCTCTACCGCATGCAATGAAACCATCGTATGAAGGACACACATATAAGTGACTCTGGTGCTGGAAACACTGTTCCATAGACGTGATTGAAGCTGTTTGCTATGTTTCTGGAAAACTCAAGGTGCTGTTTCTGGTCCTCTCCGACGGGAACATGTGTAGCTCTGGGTTGCGTTAGTGTGTGATCAAACTAAATGTCGTGATAACGAACCTGTGTACTAGTATGTCCGCAGCTTGGAGAACAGGATACGAGAAAAGGCCGAGTCGCAGCCTTGACCTGGCCTCTGAAGTATCTAGAGTTGTGTCTTCAGGCAATTGGAGTTTGCTCTAATCCGTGTCAATGCTAAGGCTTTAACCTCCTCAGAAGATCCCCAAAACTTTCTGTAATGTTTTCATTGTCATGTGTGCTTACCTTCCACTGGGTCATTCGTGACAGGTATCCCATGGAGGCTACTGTGCACAGGATCCAGAACAATTCCGCATGCGCTGCTACCTAGTACTGTTTAGCGCGAGACTCTGTTAAAGCCAATTAATCACATACAGAACTTTGGTAGAATATGGTTGAGCGGTCGGGGTCAAGGCCAGCAGCTACTAGGGTAGCAAGTGCTTCTTTTCTCCACTGTCTCAACTGGGCGCTTTCTTGGGGTACTGTCAATGCATGCAGGTCGACTATGGAGAAGTACAAACTCGTCCCATCACTCGCGTCATCTTGTAGCTTTACCCATTCTCTTAGGGCACCCAGGTAATTCCCTAAATGCGGTACACCTGTGGGTTGAATCCCGGAGAAGATCGTTTTAGCAAAACGTGGTGAGCGTGGAGTTTGGCAACTACTCCATCTTCGGAAGCTGAAACTACTCGACTTCCGACTCACCAACTCTAGTTGGGGCTGAATCGAACTAGGCCGATGAGCTATTGTCAGGATGCGGCTATACCGACATATGTTAACATGCATGGCTGTTCTTTTCATCACATGGAAGCCCGTCCCAAGGAGGTATATGTCCGAGGTTGTTTCGTGCTTTGCAACAAATTCAGTCACGTGATTAACTAGACTACTAGTTGGCCCAGCTGTTGAATAGGATTGTCTAGTGGCTACTCAATGAATCTCATAAAGCACGTATAAGCCGCAACAAAAGACGTGACACCGATACATCTGCCTTTCTCTAGCAAGAACTCATTATGGAAGGCTTATAGACAAAGCTATTATAAAAAGTGGGATTGTCGGAATTGGCAAATTCGTACAAGATGATGACAACTATGTGATATTATACAGAGTATTGGATGACATGGTGCTTATGCCTTGCGTGCTGTAGTTAGGGGGCCCTTGTATGCAACGAATCGTTCGTTGTCCAGGATATCCGAAATCGAATCACAAGATGTTGCATCTTGCCGCTGACCAAATTGTGAAAGGTAAGGCTGAAGCGACTTCTCGACTTCTGGAAGAGTGCTGTCCATGTTTGCAGCTACGTCTGTGACCACGATATAGTTAGTGACGTGGCGAACAAAATCGAAGACAAAGCAAGGTAAGAATTGCAATATACCAAGGCTTTCATGTTCCCAAACATTTGCTTTCATGCCGACTCCGTAGAAAGCATGCTTGCGCAAGAATGCTAGCCATGTCTGTACAACCTGAGGGTTGCCGTCTTTAATTTGTACCAAGCGTCGGAGCGTAATCCTTTCGAAATTCTCCTGACTCTTTTTATGCACGAAGTTACTTCTAGGAACGGTCCATCGCTCAACAATTCGTGGCAGGGGCACCGGCCCCGAGACAGGGAGGTTCAGATAATAAGCCGCCCGCACAGCAAAATCGGCGAAAAATTCGACGTTCCGTACGCTGTAAGATCTCAACTGAAGATCACAAACTGGCAGGCCAAATTCGGCCTTCCTCCGGAGGGGTCGTAGGTACACAGCTTGAACGCTCCTGGGAAGTCGAGCCTTATTATTAATGCTCTCAAGGCGTTCTCTCCTAATCATGAGTGAGCGCATGTCATCGAGAGCAATTTATTGGAGATATAGATCAAAGTTCAGACCATTGTTTCGTTTGCGTCTCAGTCGATTTCCTGTACAAACACACAAGTCAGCTCTTCGAAGTTGTTCAAGGTGGTCGTGAGAGCGCTAACAGTGCACTGGATTCAGCTGAGCCTGCTTGGGGGAGAGTATCGTTCGTTGACGGTGCATTATGGGTTATCCCAGAGGAAGTGCTGTAACCTCTAAAACCTGCTAGTAACTGAAAGCTGTTGGTATGGTTTCGCTAAAAGGGTAGGATGGGGTGACGAAAGATTACCTGGAACTGCCTGCCAGTGCATTTAAGTAGCCGAGGGTTGAGGGATAATGTCATGGTTGAGATCAATGTCTGGAAGAGTTGAATAGATGGAACACAGAGAACAATGCGCCAAATCCCTAGGTCCGTAGTATTGCAGGGACCTTGTACATACTCACTTGAATACCTACAATCTTTTTTCCATCAGGGCCCCAAGGATAGCGAGCGGAAGGCCACCCTTGATTGGCCACGAAAATTGACCGCCTTGCTTGCTCATCCGATCACATGACTATTTACCGGCTTCTGATACTACTTACTACTAGTTGTGGATGATAAATCGTGCTTTCTTGGGAATTAAGAGCACAGTCAAGTTGATCCTAACGCTGTAGATATATTTTATGGCCCCGGAGTACCTTTTTTGACAACCAACTTACCCACCACTACTACTATCGTGAAATTGGAGCGAGAATCATACTTCAAGCAATTATGGCATCCTCTCGCAGCTCATCATTTCAACATGCGAGTGAGGCATGCTCATTTCTGAAGGAACGCCTACCGGATTCATTGAAAGCACCTCGAGTTGCAATAATCTGTGGCTCTGGTTTGGGAGGGCTCGCAAGTACCATTGATCGCTTGCCTCAAGTCGATTTCGATTATGCTTCCATACCCCACTTTCCCCGTTCAACAGGTAGCCGTGTCCTCATAATTCGAAAGCCGTGACGCTTTACGCTCATTTATCAAGTTGCTGGCCATGCAGGAAAACTAGTCTTTGGACTACTCAGTGAAAATATACCTACAGTGTTGATGGTTGGCCGTGCTCAGTGAGGCTGCTCCATCAAGAGGGGTTATTTACTTAGCCTGCTAATAAGACTTTCCAAAAGTTATTACGAAGGGCATTCCATTGACCAAGTGACATTTCCTATACGTGTCTTCAAACTCTTGGGGGTTGACACAATTATCTGTCAGTTATATGCTCTTTCTTCGTCGAAGCCTAAGTGATGTACTACTGATAGTTTACTGGTTTTTAGTAACCAACGCCGCCGGTGGACTGAATCCTGAATATATGGTAGGAGATATTGTTCTGCTGAATGATGTAAGTGTATCACTACTTGACAGCATCCAAGCACAGGCTTAACACATTCAATTCTAGCACATATTCTTGGCTGGCCTGGCGGGGGTTCATCCACTACGCGGTCCGAACTCGGAGGAGTTTGGCCCCCGGTTCCCACCTCTATCAGATGCGTACGACCTTCAATTGCGTTGTAACGTCCACAAAGCATGGGCCAAGATTGTAAATGTAGAAAGCAAAAGAAGACTGCATGAGGGAGTGTATGCCTTCGTCGGGGGTCCTAGGTAAGCTTTGTCCATCTTGACGAACTAATGACCAGCATTCTAAAGAATTCAGTTATGAGACCCGGGCAGAATGTCGTATGCTTCGCCAGCTAGGCGCCGATCTTGTCGGGATGTCGACCGTACCGGAGATTGTTGTTGCCAGGCATTGCGGGATTAGAGTCCTAGCTTTGAGCCTGGTAACGAACAACGCGGTTCTCTCACCAGTGCCTCGCGGAGATGACCACCGTCTTGATGGGAAAGATGTAGCAGAGCTCGGTGAGATTTTGCAAGTAGGAAAAGCGGACCATCAGGAAGTCCTTGAGGCAGGCCGCTCCGCCGCCACGGACATGCAGGTATGCACCGCATGACCCCCTCCAGTTTTCGCGCACTGATAGTAACTATCAATTCAAGAAGCTTGTTATACAGACCATCGCGGATGTCTTTCAGTCAGGCTCGTATGGAGATACGATCGGCGGTCGGTGAGTCAGCGCGGATGGGGAGGACTATTTGAGCACTGGGGCACAACTAGACGCTCCGGCAATGTCAGAGACTTCAAATTAGGTTTCTTTTGTCCGGAGACTGGTCATTATGACTGTCTGAACAGAAACCAATTCATTCACTTGCTCCTCGTGTTCCGTTTCGCTCGCAAATTCTTGTAGTAGGAACGTTTGCCGCTCTGCTTGACAGACTGGATGTCCTTGTACTTAGCCTCAAATCGCTTGTTTCCTTGCTCCGCTGCCAGTGCTTCCTCAACGAAAGTCTTCTTTCTATCCCTTTTAGCGATGCGGCTACTGAAAAACTCAGTCGGACCTTCGATGATGGTTCCCACTTGAGAATACTGAGGAGGGCGTGCTTTGCCGCCCTCCTTCTTGTAATGCCTCTTCGGATCTAATACTGAGCGCATTCGAAGCAACTGCAGGTCTCTCTTGAGTTCTGTGGTCAACTCCGTCTTTGGAAGGTCGAACCAATCGCTACCAGCTGTGGGTTTGTCCTGAAAAGAAGACAAGTTAGCTATCGTCACCCATATAGGCAAAATAGCAGGATAGTAAAGATGGGGATGATGCTCAGAGTAACTATGAAACAATAATGTGTACTCTCATAGGCACAGCGCATCCCAGTACGGGATGTTTAGCTGCATCAAGCGCTTACGCGATGGGATTTATTTTCCTCATAGCATCTGTGACAAACGACACAACAAAGGTGTTCAGGGGGAAGTAACGCGTCTCACCTTGGAACTTGGCTTTGAGCTTTTAGATCCAGTCGGTCGCATCTCGAGTGGCGATCTGATGCTGGGGCTATTCATTGCTCCGATGGCATCTTCCACAACTGCAACATCATCTTGTTGACGGACATATGGCCTTAGGGAGCCTCCTGGTGCCAACTTAGGGATACTAAGCAACAACAAATTAGCTTTCGAAGGCGTATAAATTTTGACGGGTACACATACTGAACTGAGGTTGCTTCCAAACCCACATTGGTCAAGCTATCGGCATTGGAAGCATTGGCCCTAGCATCACAGGGCCTCAAGCGATCCTCAGCCTCGCAAAGCAACTGTTCAATATCTTCATCATTTAACCTGACCTCATCCTGTGGTGGGACACTGGTAAGTTCAATGCATGTTGCACCTGTCATGTCCTATAGTAGAGGATTCAGGTAACTCGTGTGTGCACAAGTTAAGGTAAAAGGAAGACCAGGAAGTGGAAGCCCACAGGGTAGGTATTTATAGCGTAAATTCAGGGCTACTTTCCTGTGGAAGAAGTTCAATGGCAAGCTCGATGGAAAATTTGTGCTGTGGGGCGGAACCTCACCTTAACTAACCCCTTGGCAACTAGTACCTATGTGGAGATATGCCTGCAATACCGGGTTATTATTATTCCTGCCCTATAGTCTCGTTTTGTAACTGCTTCGGTATCAGTAGTAATTGTCTATCTGTTTCGCACGTTTTGACACCTTCAACTTGCTGACCGCTAATGTAACAAACCAACTGGCTCTGCATGCACAAAAAGGGCCGATGATCTTCTTTGAACTGTGGGTGTATATACAATTTGTCACATCTATTCTGTAACTTGGCACTTTCCGGCGGTCGAGTGAAATTCTTCCGAGCTGCTACAGCCATCTAACAGTCCACTTCAAGGTGTCGGAAATCAAATGTAGTACTGATCCATCATGTTACTACATAGTGATGATTGCATTTCAATGGTTGGTTGAGTATGGATGCTAGTGTATAGCCCATATTGCAACGTCCTGACTATTTAGAGCTAGTGTCGCTCGGTCCAGTTGCTTTGTAAAAGATTTGAGTGCAGAGCACCAATGTGGCATGTGAGCGTCATGATCTTATAAAGTCATGCCATTCTCTAGTGGTCTATCACTCTGTACAATTAGGTTATTCGTATACTGTCCGGATATTGTAAGCGATCAGCCCGATGTATAAGTATCAAATTGTGTTCTCAAAGATCAATGCATTGACTTAAGTGTCGTAATCCTGGCTGGAACTTGAGAGCCAGATTGTGAAATTTGACACATGATTCAAAACTATCAAGCTCACTGGAAAAGAAAGAAACGAAATCATGGATCTCCTATATCTAGCACCGATCCTACGGAGTACTACTATGTTCAGAGTAGGAAGTGTGGGTTGTCATCGACCTCCGCAGGGTCTGAATGCCAAGAGGCTTCTGCTAGCGTCACTCGGGCTGCGCTACGCTTGGCGCCGCGTCTTTGCCATGGTTGCACGCTACCTACATACAAAGGCATCGAAGCACAATCATCTGTTTGGCGCTTTCTATCTCCATCATCGATCTGTCACTTCATAAAGCTCACTAGGTCACTATACTTCAAGACTTCGACCCCTTAACCCTCTTGGTAAACCGGCTGGCTTGCTTCTATCTAGTCTGTCGCGTCCCAACACCCCGCTATCGCGCCTGTTGAGATCGCATTTTCATCATTTGCCAGACGAGTCTGTGACAGTACTGTTGCGCACGTCTTATATCTAATCACAAGTGGCTGGGCTAGTCATTCAATCATGGAGCAAACTGCACAAACCCCTGGAACACAGCAGGGCAGGCAGCAGCCTGTGTACGACACCCGAAATGGTGGGCATTATGGTAAATATTCCTCAAAACCCCCTACGCGTGTTCATGTCTACATACACATATACACGTGAAAATCCACGCTCAAGGCTGATGGCATGTCCTTAGGTGCTAGCGCAGCGGTATGGTCGCCTTCAGAAGCTTACGAGTACGCCTACGTTCTTAAGGCTAACATGCTATATACGTCTAGCTTTCTGCGCAAGGCTATGCGCCAGTTGCCGAGCTCTATACCGGGACATGGGCGAATGTGAGTTTTCTACATGAGTAGAGAATGTAGCGTGACTGACATTCCGCCAGGTCAACCAAGGCTTGCAAGGAACCGCCCGTGATATACTTACAACATACTGGCAGCACATCATCAACCATCTAGAATCGGACAACCATGATTATAAGATACACCAGCTACCACTTGCTCGCATCAAAAAGGTCATGAAGGCTGACCCAGAGGTTAAAATGATATCAGCGGAGGCACCAATACTTTTCGCCAAAGGTTGTGATATCTTTATCACTGAACTGACCATGCGTGCATGGATTCATGCCGAGGACAACAAGCGCCGTACACTACAGAGGTCTGATATTGCAGCAGCACTATCAAAGTCTGATATGTTCGATTTCCTCATTGACATAGTACCTCGCGAGGAGGCCACGTCCCATGCAAAGAGGTCTAGCCAGACAGCTGGAGCTTCTGCAGGCGTTCCTGGCCCCGCAGGAGCCACCGGCCAACTGCCACCATCTCAACACGGTGTTCCCCATCACATGCCTCCGCCGGACTATAGTACCCTGGGTCAGCATGGGCTCCAAGATCAAGAGTACCGGCCGCCGACGATGTATGCTGGAGCTGTGCAGTCTGACCCCACGGCTGCCTATGGTCAGCATCAGCCTCAAATGTTCGAAGGAATGTATGCAGCATATCCGCATCTACCACCTCAGCAGGTATGTTAATATTATCACGAGAAACCCACCTCCTTTCTCGTCTCTTTCCTTTTCCTATTGTTCTAGCTGTTATCTACATTGGCTCAACCTTGACTAATGCACTGGACACCAATAAGTGAGTGATGATGACACTCAAAAGTAGGCACAGCCTGAGCGGCACACGAGGATTTTAAGTTGAACGGCACCATGCCATCGTATCCGCTACCCGGTCAAGGAAGTGACCAGCTATGTACTGTGGTGCAACAGCTATGCGTTGCAAATGTTACGGAGTTATCATGAAGCAGATCTCATACCCACATATCTTTCAACACGTTCTTCCTGAATGAAATTGGTGCACTTGCTCGATGGTACATAGAAATGAAGTAGCCCAAGTAGTCAGCACAATTCATGACTTCTTGCCAAATCTCGAGGAGAGAGTGGAGAATTTATCTGCTTTTACGGGACTTTGAACGGTACGTATGATCCTTCTTGTTGGTTAGTAATAGTATCCAGGCTATGGTGGTTGGTAACGCACTTCTCTAACAGGACGGGACCATGAATAGCGTCCACACGACCGTACTTCTTGTTCCGCGTAGATATATCATAGAACTCGTCAGTGTTATCTGCTTGCATCAATTGCACAGTCTGTTGCAGCTCGTCGAGGTTTTCTCGGAGGATGGGAACACCAAGACCATCAACAAATTGGGATAGGTATTCGACATCTTTTGCAAGAGCCATTACACCGTTTGGGTTGATCCTTTTCACCTCCGGAGAGAGAGGGAGTGCCTGACGGAGGTTAGCAGAAATACAGTAAATTTATCGCTTGGCGCTACTTACAAGAATCATATTCGCGGCATGACTAAGAGCGTCGAAGTAGATAAGTTCTTTGATTTCTGTCGGTAAGCCGAGGAGCGTCGAGTTCATGATGTTTGACAAGAAGCGTGTTAGTGTTTGCATGTAGTTGCTAGGCTCTGCGGGTGGGACAGATGCCATCCAATCGTACTCAGCCGTTTCTATGAGATCATCAATCTTGGAATTGACAACTTCAAAGATACGTTTCTCTGCCGCTTTCTTATTGCTTCTGAACTTCTCGGTAGCGTTCAAAGTGACCACGTCACCGGAGACATTCTGTGATCGAGCAGCAGCGAGTAACAGCTCAAGTTCGCGACAGGCAAGCTCAAAATGCTCTAGGTTTATCAAAATCTGCACAATCTGCCCCAGATATTGTGAGGAAAGACGTTCGACAAGGGTGTCGCAAACTTTGTCTGATAGGAGTTCATCCAGTGCCTAGAATTGTAAGAGATGTGAAGGTATATGTGATATGGATACTTACATCCCTTAGGGTTTCGTCAATGAGACTAGGGTGTGAGAAATCGTCATTGGCAAAAAAGTAGAACTGGTTCAGAAAGTTGCGGATGTCGATGCAGCATAAGGGATACATTTGGGAAAATGGTAAGACACACGGAAACCTGCGCTATCGTTAGTGATGATTGATTCAAGTGTCTTAAGTTAACAGTAGGAACGTACACTTGCTCTTCCCTTGGCTTGCCAGGGCTGTACCAACTGACATTCAGTACCTTGTCAAATTCCTCGATTGTCTGGATAGGCATAGGCATATAATCATCGGTCGATACTATCTTCACGGGTTTTAATATAGAGAAACAGAACCGATTCGTAAGGAAACATACCTCTCGGAAATCGTCACTAAATCTTTTCTTGAGAAGGTCGGCATATTTCCTAAAAAGAATCAAGAGAAAGTCATCGAACACCCCGACGTGAAAGTCCCATGTCTATTTTCATATTAGTTAGTATGTCTCGCCAACATTCAGACTCAGAGGTCAACAGACATTCATTGTTTGCATGAACAATGCGATGAGGTTTTTTATTTTCAGTAGGCTCTCAGCATTGTCAACCTCATGGAGAGCCCCGGATATTAGGATCACAGCTGTTTGGCACATAGAATCCCATAATTCATCGACCTTTACCAATTCGTTCAGCCCAACAAATCTACCCATTCATTCAAAGAACAAACTCACATCGACAGAAGACCTCAGGTCCGGAACCCTCTTCATTGTAGAACGCTCGACAATGGCGAATCCTGCCATTTCTTCGAGAAGATTGTGCAGACTAGCCCCATCTTCATCAACAAGAGTAATGGAGGCTGGTAGCAAAAGTTCCTTCTGCCGACGCCGAGTATTAGCGTACTCAACTCGAAATCTATCCATATGCCCTAATGATCGATGAATGTGGAGGCATTCAAATAAAGGCGTAAAGTCCACTTGAAGTTCCTCGTTTTGCAAAAGATCGTACTCTTCGCTCTCGTCGGATACCAGCTCAATTGCCGAATTGAGCTTGAATTGACCAAGATATGGAGATATCTCTGTCCGCTCCTTATGCCTGGTCTTTCGCAAGTCTGTATGGTATAAAGCGATCTCCCCGAGGTACTGCGACATTTCTCGGATTCTGTATAGCCAAGTATTAAGGTCAGACATGACAGCTTCAGCTATTGCTTTTTGTGTTGTTGGGACTGAGCGCTGAATCATGTCCGCGATTTTATACTGCGTCACCCCTTTAAGATGGACATTTTGCAATTCTTCTAAAGCGCGCAGTGCGGCATAATGATTCTTCTTAGCGAGTAGATCATGAACTTGATTCGCGAGACGCAACACCTCGAGACAGTCCTGTATAGCTCTAGAAGTCTCATCGATGTTCTGCCGGTGACTCCGTGACTCTACCAGAGCTCTCTTTTGTTCGGCCAGCTTTTCGGTGCTTGCTTGTATCGACTGGTTAAGGTCCAATATTTCAGCAGTCAGGCTGACTGTACCTTCCCTGATGCGTAAAAGTTGATTCACTGATGTTACGAATTCCTGGTGATTGGTATTGCATATTGTCTCTATCTCAGCCTCCTTGTCACTAGCAAACCTAGACAAAGTCTGTGATAGTTGTGATGTTCGGTTGCCGACGCTGTACTCTTTGATGGAAGGAATCAATTGGTCGATGTAGTCCGCGTCTGAGGGAGATATGATAAGCTATGGAGACCATGAGTATTAGTTAGTAGCCCGTCGCACAAACTCTTTTGCCATGCGTACCTGATTCAGGAGGTATGACGACTCATTGCGAGAAGGTGCCACTGATGGCATTGTGACGAGTTTGTATGTGGGAGTCGGCTGCGGTAGATAACAGAATCCAATCGACTGCTGTGACAACTTGCTCACTATTAAGGACAAAACGCGCGTCAAATTTCAAAAAAAAGGGGCAGTAAAGACTTCAAAGGAACTGCCAGAAGCAAGTCAATTATCGCGGACACAGAAGAGTCACTCGGTTTGGGCGGGTATGGTTACACAGTATGCTGAAACCCCCATGATATGTGATAAGTTGTACTCTTAATATTACGTTTCCCTGCCAGCTCTCCGATTCCTCAGCCGTTGCGGGGATCCCACGAGATGGGGCCGCGGGCGTACATTGCTCTAGCCCGTTTTGGACACAGCCAAACTTAGTTATGTCCAATATCCAATGAAAGCGTGAAGCTCGCCGCTCAAGACTCAGATTACTACTACAAGGTACTCTAATTGAACTATGAACTATGATCTCTAAACAATATCAGACTTGAGCATTTGAGTTGTCTAGTGACCAAAGTCATACCTGCTAAGAACAGCTAGGGTTTTAAGAGTTTCAAAATTTCTCTCCTGTAAAGACTCCGAAGTGGTCTGTATGTTCAGCTGGCATAGACCTGAAGGCGGCTATCGTTTCTTACTCTATTCTGCGTTTACCTTTTACCTTCTAAGAAAAGTATCACTGGCACTAGCAATATTTTTTTTTCTTTGGAGCTGAACAGAGGCTTGGAGTCATTTGCAAAGCCAGGACACTGAGTATTCCAAGCCCCTTTATAACAAGCTATCAAGAGATGGACGAACCGTGAGGGAAGGTTGCTGATGTGTTTGGGTTCCTCTCAAGTATGAACAACAAGTAGCAATCTGATACCAGCCTTCTCTGGTTCATTATTTAACCTTTGAAACATTTTACAATGGGCCACTTGCGCAACCGAGAGGATTAAGTGAGGGGTTTCTCCCATGTTCGGTCTTTGGGCATTGGTATCGAGGCAGTTTGTTTGAGTCTGGGATTCAACCTCTTACTGTACACAGTGCTTTAACAACCCTCTTGCTCGAATGGAATGACACTACAAGTTCTCTGCATCTTGACTATCTCCCGAGTACCTACCAGTATTTCAATCGTTTTGTGGATTTTGCAACAGATGAGATACACAAGGGGTATCTTCCCTGTGTTATTAACCCAGTGTAAATTGGTGAACTGTTCAGTCTCCACCCTTGGCGCCTAGATTGGGGATGGTGGTGTGGTTCCAGTCCCGTCGCTGTATGTGTAAGAACAGGCTCTAGAAGCGGTATGCTATTGGGGTTTATCTCTCTCTGTGGGACGTGCTATTCCACATCTTTCCCTTGAGACGTGTTCTGTTGGTCTTATCCCACTCTCCTTCTGCTTGCAATATTTGACGTGACAGAGGGTTTATCTCTTGCTCGATTGCTTCTTCGGGCAGACTTCTAGGCGGCCGAGGCCTCTACTTCAATATCACGGTTTCCTGGGTTTGTTTGCTGTAAGGTGCTTTTTATCCACATCTGACTGTGTGAGTCTGGGCTCGCTCTCCAAGACAGGCCACCCCCGATAAGACAGAATTATCCTATATTCAACTGGGTTCTATCAACATTCTCACAGCATGAGGCCAAACGATACGTCCCACAGCTTGAGCAGTCCTGTTTCTACAAACGACATAGGCTCTGCCAATGGGTCCCCTGACACCAAGCTTACAGCATATTCGCCTGAGGATATGCGATCTACCTGCCTTCGCTCTGACTCCAACGTTGGTGACCCATTGGGCGACATTGGCAAACGAAAGTTATACCTGACGTAAGTGTACGATAACTATCTTGATTTCAGATCCGTCAGTGACAAGACCAGATCATCCTCTGACCCCTTTCTGGTGTCAACGAACACTTCTACCCGTGTTCAACTTTCACCAACAGCAGCAAGCTTCACACCAATTGGCGTGGCAGACAACGTTCTATCTAGGAGCAAGGCGCCTTCACTGTCTCGAGGCTTTTCCGGCGTTGGCTATCTAACAGCAAGCTCGGATATTGATCCATGCGAAGCTAGGAATGGCCCTCTCCAGGCCTCGGACAGATACTCACTGAAGTATGGAGTCATAGGCAATAGTCAGTCTGATACGAGGAACCGTCCGAATATCATGGACTACCAGACATTCGGCAGCGAGAACCATAGCCGAGCCCTGGTTATTGAAAATGTGCCGAAAAATCTTACCTATATGTCATTGGCTGGATTTTTCAATGTAAGTGGCCAAGTTCAGGAGGAAGAACAAACATATATATCCTGTCCTGATCAAAATCGGTGAAAAGAAATTTACATTACTGATTGTATGTTGGACAGCGTCGTGAATTTAGCTCCCTCAGAGGCCCCGTGCTTTCAGAACTCAATTCCATGGGCAAGGTCTATGTCGCATTCACGGACAGTCGGGAAGCGACCAAGGCAATAGAGAAGGTCAAAGTCCTGAGGCCTGAATGGCACATCTCTACGATTGCACCTAAAGAATATGTCAAACATGTTGAGCCTTCTCTTCTGCCACAGACTTCTAACTACGAGGGTCAGCTGCTTGTCACCGTCTATTATGACGGCAGAAACCCCAACCTCAATCAGCACACTGTTGCTCGCTCACTTGAAACCCTCTCTATGACATTCGGTGACATAAGGTCTTTCACATCCTTGCCAACTGAGCAAGAAAATATTGGCGAATTTCATATTGAGTACTTCAACACGCGTGATGCTGAGAACGTTTTGACCACCCTTAATGGGACGTCGGTTGATGTACGCAGACAACCCATTTTCTCTGCTTCCAAGTGGCTAATAAAAGTCGTTAAAGGATTGCATCCTAGACATCTCTCTTTTCAGGCCAGATATAGAAGAGAGAAAGTGCGAGCTGCCATTTACGGCTGAAACACCTTCAAGAGAGGAATTCCCTCCAGCCGAGGAGGCTTCTTTCACAAAGTCCACATCGTGGACCTCAGTTAGACCGGGCCGTGCTTCCTTCATGGAATTAAGCCCTACCGGTCGTTCCACGGTGCCCCCAGGTGAACATGCTAGTCTCATAGACTGGATGTCTAAGGCTGGTGAAAGGATCTTCCCCTCTCCTCGCCGCGAACTTAGCCGCTATCCTGATTTACGCATGGGCAGCCAAAATGCAGTCGATATAGAGAGAATACGTCTCGGCTTGGATGTCAGAACGACGGTATTATCACCGGCTCATGCTCCCTAGTTTGCTAACTGACATGCGCCTTCACTCACAGATTATGCTCCGCAACATCCCTAATAAAATCGACCAGGTGAGCAAAACTCCATTGGAAGGATACTGTTGTCAATATGCAGACTTGGAAATCCTAATAAGAGAAGGCTATGCTCAAAGCTATTGTGGATGAGACAAGCCATGGAAAATATGACTTTATGTACTTACGGATAGGTGGGTTGATATCCCAGCTCAAACAGGTCGATTTGAACCGACTAACCCCCATGCCATCCCTGCAGATTTCGCAAATAACTGCAAGTATGACTGCCAATATATGTAACGCCGCCATTGCCAGTATCTGACATTGTCTCTGCCAGCGTCGGGTACGCCTTTATAAATTTCGAAGATGTGAGTTCATCTCAACGACCCCGGCAGCCACTACTGACAGATCCTCAGCCGATTGATATCATTGATGTTAGTATCGTCCTGGTTCTCTTCATCGAAATCACTGATTTCATGTAGTTTATCAACGCAAGAGCGGGACGAACCTGGTATGCCGAGCCTGAAGGAAATACCACATGTCCATTGTTTTAACGCATGTACAGGAATTGTTTCAACAGTGACAAGGTGGCTGAAGTGTCTTATGCAAGTTCGTACTCGCTTATCCCTAGCAGACTATGGATTATCTAAAACGACAGGTCAGCTATACAAGGAAAAGATTGCTTGGTGCAAAAGTTCCGTAATAGTTCCGTCATGCTGGAACATCCATCATTTCGACCAAAGGTCCATATCATCCCTGCCATTCAGTCGACGTAAATTTAGAGATGAAGCTTATTCTCGCAGATTTTTCAGACCGGCACAGGCCCTCTTGCTGGGACCGAGGATCGCTTTCCTGGACCAGACAACCCTTCCAAAATGCGTCGCAGCATTGAAAATGCGGAACATGTTGGTAAGAGCACATATCTGCGTGCCTTGGAAGAACTACACTCATCAGCATTTCTCAGGACTATTTGCTCCGCGCGTCGGTCAGCAGTACCGTGACGAGCAGCGCCGTCGCCGTTCCCAATTCGATCGTGGAACCACTGCAGCCGAGCGCGAAGTAGTATATGTCCGAACACTCGCACCAAGACGTCCCTACGGTGTCGGTAATGGTCTCAGGAGTGGCCCCTGTACTTATCCTGGTATGAAGATGTGGCACGAATCAATGCACGAAAGCGGTCCCTAAGCCCTTCAACCCACTATACTCAAGGGCTGCTTCTGGTCAGCTGGACTCTCATCTAATCTAGGGAAATAACCAAGGAAAATTGCCTACATAGCCGTGCCTACGCTTGCGACCCTGGAAAGCGTACTGGTAAAAGTCAACTCCTACCAATCGCTATCCCACCCTTTCAAGTTAGATCTTCCCCGTTTATGTTTTCAGCTTGTTTGATCTACTTATGTCGAATACCAGCGCTCGATTGGAGCGACGGCCAGCATTTGACCCATGGGAGAAAACCTTATGGCCCTGGTTGGCTTGGTACGGTGTCTCGAATTGTGTCTAAATGTTGGAACCCTTTCTCTGTGAGATTTCGGTGCCCTGTTCCTAATGTTCATTGATCCTTCAGATGTTTGGTAATCTGTGATTTCAAATACATCCAGAAGAATCAAATCATCTTCGTTGCATGGCCTTCTCGTTTTCCCGATGTGGCGGTGAAAATTGCGTTCTAGGCCTCACACGAGGTCACTGTAATCCAGGGGCGCTATAGGTGAAGCGGGGATAATGGAGTACATTTGAATGCTGCTACATAGACTAGGAGGTCGGTACTCGGGTATTCTCCCCGAAGGAGCTAGACCTGTCGACTCTCGGCAAGGTTTCAAGGACCGAGTAAATTAATCCCTAGCGGCGGCTACTGTCATATATTTCGATATCCATCGTCGTTCAAATTCACCAATCTTAACCCACGGGTCGGGAAGTCTACACAGTCAAGTAGGCTCCGAGACCAAAGTCTATTATTACACAATTCAAAGCGCTACATTTACTTGTTGCGTTTCCCTCTCCTTGTGCAACAAAAACCCCGTTTGACACAACGCAGGACCGCCCAACTCACGTCCAGGCTAATTAGTAACTCGGCAGGGTCTTCTCGTTGTTGTGGCAGAGGATGAATATTGATGTGGATAGAATTTATGCGGTGCATTCTATACTTCATTTGATATTTCATCGAAATAAAAATCAACATCGAGGGACTAAGTGGTGGAAATGGTTGGCGATCCTGAAACGAGTTACCTTGAAGTTCGCCAGATCTCTCGACAGTCGGCAGCCATTTGGCAGTGATGAGTCTCCTGCTGATCAACATAGACATCATTTGGTGACATATCTTATGCCGAAGTGCTATCAGTAAGTTAGGAGAACGATTAACAGACGAGCTTTAAATAACCTCGCTTCATGCGACATCGCCGAGGATACTTGCTGATTTAAAAATATCCAGAGCATTCTCCGCAGTTGTTGCCGATGGACAGTTTTCTACTCTGGGGACAGTTTTGATTGCCACCCTTGCCCGTTTGGCAAAAGCCACAGGGATCGATAAGGATCTGAGATTGTCATCACAAACAGAAAAGGCTTCTACTGGCCCCATCTATGGCACCGATGCGCAACGAAGAGAGGATATGGGAGTCATCCTCTGCCGCCCTGAAGGCTCTTCAACACCAACGCTGCTATCTGGGACTCAAGTTCCGGAGATTTCACCTCGAGCCCATGATGAGGTGTCTCTAAAGGCTCCAGAAAGCACCGTAGGCTCAAAAAAGAAAAGCATGCGGAAGAAGAAGCGGAAAAAGGATGCCATCGATGATCTATTTGATAGCCTTCTATAGGTGCAAATAGCGGGTCTTGCTGACATGTCGTGAACGGTAGCTAGTAGATATACATCCTAAAGAGCATAACCTATATATGCAGTATTCCTATCTTTCGGCTTCGGCTCAGTAGAATCCCTCCGTCTGCTTTCATACTATAACAACTCCACTGCTGAATGGTTCGCCAGTTTGGATGATATTAGATGCAAGACCTCGCCAAGCAAGTTAACGGCCAAGTGGTTGAGGATGGCCCACGCCATTGCATAGAGATACTTGGGAGAGAAGACCGTCCAGATGAAAAGATGCGACCTCAGGATCGTGCATGCAGCCATAACCGACAATAATGTGGCTGCCATGTGGAATGTGAGAACAGCCATGTGACTCTCTCTTTCATGCCTAGCCTGGTTTAGCCGGAGAACCTGAGCAGCTGATACCCACCATATTGGCCCTGCCCAGTTACTTATAAATGTTAAGATCCCAACCAAGACGACATTATAGGTGCCGATGCCATTATATGCATTGGAAAGGTCGACTGTGGCTATTGAATTCGAACCTCCAAATGCGAAGAAGGTCATATACTGCGCGATCAAAGATGTGATAGCTAGCTCGAGGGCAGAAAGATTCGTCGTAGCAAGTATATTCGCATGGGCTCTGAGTATTAGAAATATCGGAATGTTCGTAGCTCGTGATTGAGTTACCAAGAAAAGGGTGAGGGCGTCATGGAAGACGGTACTCGGGACCACTGTAAAATGTTAGCCGATATCCGAGGCGCGATTGATCTCGACTTGCCTCTCATCTCACGCAGTTGCGGGGTATTTCTGATACACATTGATAATGGAATGAGAAACATAATCCCGACTACGACCAGCCGCGTAAAGAGGACAGTAGACCCTCCATCGAACCCCCTCTTCCAAAGGACAAGCAAAGCTTCAGGGAGAAGTTCAGGGGAATCTGATGCCACATATGACAGCTTCAAGAAGAATGCGCTCAATGCCATTGTGACACAACATAGCTGCCAAAGCTTTGATAGACGGTGGGCTAAGAGATGCCTACAAGTGTTGGCATATGTTAAGATAACGAGAAACCAGAGTATTAGCCGATGGGAAGGGAAAAATGTCCGAGCGATGTCTGGATCAGTAGCAAATTTCTGACCAGTTTGGTTCCAGCGCCTCAAAACCCTATGTGATAGGAGCAGCGCCAACGCACCAAAATTGGAATAACACAAATCATATAGGCGATAGAATCTTGTATTCCTCTCCTGGGAGGGCATGGAGCAACGTGGAAGAATGGATGATCTTACATGTAGGCAAAATACCCATGCAGTAAACATCCAATTCCAGAATTGTTGCTCTTCCTCAACATAGCTACTAGCGAACATCATGCCACCGTAGCCTAGGAGACACAGTGCAAAGAATGCCCCAGCACACCCAGACTTACAGAGCAGAGTATAAATCGTAGGGAGAGGAAGCAGGACAACGAAAGAAGTGATGGCTAAGCCCAGAAGAAGATTTCTGAGATCGTAGTCGCTAGCTGCGCTACTAATTACCTCCTGTGCCTGTTTCAAGAACACAAACAAGGCAGACTCAAGCTCGGGATAAAGGTCATTTTTGTCGGCTCCGCCGGAGTTTTGAAGCAAGATATTGACCCGAAACCATGCACAGAGCGCCAGATCAACGCCGACTAAAGGCCCGCTATCGCAGGCGATATCCATCGAGTTGATATCGAAACTGCGGTTAGGAAACATCTCGTTCATCTTTCTCAGGATCTGTCGGGAATTCGAGAGTAACACGTCAATTCTTTGCGATCCTGAACCGGCTATTCATAAGTATGCTTTACATTTGCACGCACTAGCAAGGAAGGTGTGCACATACTCGTTTCCCACAGGTCGAGAAGTTCTGGGATAAATACACCCAGACTATTCAATGGTATCGGTAAGCCTAAAAGCCCTGCCAAAGTTGGAGTTATGTCTGTTTGCTCAACGGTTCGGTAATACTGGAAGTCGCTGTGCGAGTCTGTCGGAGACTGTCTGAGGATATCCAAGGCTTGAAACTTAGGAGAAATAAAGAGCAATGCGGGCGATGTCTCACCCACGGATGAGCCGCCATGATTTCCGGCATCGTTCATCCCATGGTCACCACATAAGACAAAAAGAGTGGACTGCAAATGTTGTTGCTGCTCCATGCTGGTATATATATTGGCAACAATGGAGTCCATCTCCTGTTGCTTTGTTGTCATGTAAGGGCTATGTAATACTTGTTAGCCCACCCCGAAGCCAAAGGCTGGCTGGTCCCTTACCTCTGAGGACCGGCTTTATGTCCAATGTGATCTAATCCAAGGTAATGCATGATGAATGCTGACCAGTCGTCACGGGAAAGCTCAGTAGAGACGTGACGAGTTACGTTATTGTCCACTTCGATGAAGTCCTGCGCGAACTAGCTTAGCTCTCCCATTGGATGCACCAATTGAAGCCCGTTGGCATCTACTGACCGACACAAAGAAACTTGTAGTACCGTCTGCTCTTTCAAACATCCCGGGAAACAGTTTAAGCCAAGTGTCATCACCATACATGACAAGCTGGCCTCCATTTGCCTTCAACTGTGCCAACCAAGTATCTTGATATGCTAGAGTCGATGAAGTATCGGACTCGGCAATATTCAGGATTACATCCAGAAAAGATGGTTTTGAGCCAGTTGTTATTGCCTTGAGACGAGGCATTGTAACAGTTGGAGAACTAGCATAAGCAGTGAATGGCAGTGCAGCTCCTGATCGAATCAGGCTATAGGAACATAGGTTAGACAGACAGCACCTCATTTTAGATTTACTATTGCTGACCTTTGGGTAAATAGAAACCCGGAATTATTAGAGTAGACAAAGTCACTGAGTAATTTCAGCTGGAGGCACGAAAAGCCGGGAGCACTTCGAAACATTCATACCTCCTTAGAGCATCGATAACCATGAAAATGACCTTGTCAAAAGCCTTTGGAGTCGCAGTGTAGTTGCCGCCATCTTCAAATCTTGCAAGTCCTGGTATCAATGGCTTATAAGGGAAAAACCCAGACGAAAATACTAAGACTGCTAAGGGGGTTAATACATTGGCGATGATAACCGCCCAACTTCGTGGTAGGATGGCCATTGAGTGTCTATTCTTCTCTGAATAGCCTGCGACAACCCAAAACTAGACATCCGAGGTCACAACTTCATATGAGGTGCGGCATTCGGTTTATGCTATGACTACTAGTTGTAACTGCCGTCGTCCAAAGGGGCAGTCGTCTATATTGATACCATATACCGCCTACTAAATTGGGACTTGTGGGGTTATTATCGGGCATCTAGATAGCACTTCATAGTGGGTAATTCATGGACATTAATGAGGCCACGCTACTCTGTTCTAACACTGCATCTGCTGATGCTTTGCAGCTTTAGCATACAAGTTTTGTATCACGCTCGTGCATGGCAGATGATGTTTCCTTGAGGTCTTCAGCGGAAGTCTTGAGCATCCGCTTAGAGATGAATAGTAGCCATATACTAATCGGCCTTGACGAAGCTAAGATCCATGTTCATAAAAATTTTCTACGGCTGAAATACAGGGGATTAGATGCGTGAAAGCATCCACAGATGATATCGCTCGACTTCGGTCCAGTTTTCTGCTCCTTTCCTAAAATGCCACAGGGAAGCAGAAACAACCAAGACAGTGGTAGTTATATGTCCACATCTCCCACAGAACGCCAAACTCCATAATTGAAAAGAGGCACGACTATTTCACCATAAACGAAGCAAAACACGCCACGCGATTCACCGTCTCTTCGTATTTCCTTTGACCTTCGATGGATGAGGACGGAAAACGATGGACGAGCGGGCTTTCTTATGACGTTTCTGAATTCGACCCGACTTCCTGGTGTGAGCACGGCCACCCTTAGCAGTTCCTTGATCGATATCCATATCTGTGACAGAGCTAGGTTAGCAGGGGGCGCTGGCATGAAATGATTGGCAGAAACAATAGCAAAATTGATAAAAACCCGATTGCACCTAGCTTACCTCCAGTGGAATTCGATACGTTGCTAGCTTCTTTGTCACTGTTGTTGTCTGAGTTGCACATAACACGTCAGCTGTGGTTGGAATATCTCGAGGAACTTTCACATACTTGTGGTTGCATCATCCAGTTCCATGCTTGACTTCTCCTCGTTCGGCCGAGGCTGAGAAGCTAGCTCTTGCAGCTTCGCAGAAAGTCTTTCGGTCCTTGCATCAACAGCTGGTCCGAAGACTGTGGCTCGGAGTTTAGCTCTATTGCGCTTGGTAACACTCGCCCGGACGCTCTTTGCCATGGTGCTCGTCAACAGAACCGGAATGGCCAACGAGATTTATGGGTAAGGTAAATTTTGTAGAAGGCAAATGTAGCGGTGTTAATGATGGATACTATGTGGAATCTGGAATCTTCATCCAGAGATCAAGCGTGTGTAGTGCAAAATTTTTGGCAAGATTCGCCGCCTCTATTTGCCGGTTTGCCTTTTTTTTTTTTTAGTCCACCACTTTTTTTTTTCTTGGGAGGGGACTTTGTAACATAAGCGCGGTGGATAATCTTATGTCATCACATTGAGAGGCTCTTCTCACCTCCGCAATCGCCGCCGGCCTGGTCGATCGTATAGGTTGTCATTGGCATCTAGCTCACTCAGTGCCTTTTCTTATTATCCTTTGACGGCCTCAAATATTCCATCAAATCAGGACTTGAGAAGCTACGTCCCCCCATCTCCGTCTGTTTAACTTCCTGGAGTATTGAGATGTCTTTGAACAGCGTTGTTCAGCATAGCGCAACCGTCTTGAGCCATCTTTCTTCCTGAGATAACGCCTGCATGCTCATTTAGTCACTGGCTAGCATTCTTTCTAAACCCTAGTCATGGCCTCTACTGGTCAATTACCGGACACACAAAGCCTTGTTGCCCTAGTCAAGACATTGACCAACGCGCAGCTCAAAGATATCCTCAGGAACGAAGGGCTTGCTGTCTCAGGAGTGAAAGCTTCATTGCAGCTACGGATCATTGACTGTAAGTTGTACCTTGTTTTATAAGAGCTTATATTTTCTAGGCCTCGTCCAAATATAATATTTGCGAAGTTGTTAACTCTTATTGAAACACAATAGACATTGAGAGACTCAACCAAGGAGGCCATGTTGAACAGTACGATGACCTGAGGAAATTCATCTATGCCACGGCACGTCGGCCAATGCCTACGTCTCCAACCACGCAAGCAGTCTCCAACCAACACTATCAACCACATACTGTCAATCAACCTTTGCTCACGCAGCATAGACCTTCACCTTTGAGCATACCAATGCCATCGCATGGACACACATCTGGTACCCACTTATATGTTCGTTTGCTCTGAGGCTGGGATGGTTTCTGACTCTCATACAGGTCGTTTAACTTTCAAAGACAGCCCATTCTATACCGTCATAGAGCCATTGACTTCTGCCTCGGAATGCAAAGGTGGGGCACTGGCAGTCTATTCCTATTTCAGTGACAGTTCACATCTAATAATTCTTCCAGTACGCGAACAAACTAGGGACAGTGTGGAACTCAAAGTTATCCTTACACCAACCGTAGCGACTAGGCTACAGGCGGATCCCAATATTCGGGTGATGGTGTATTGTGCTGCAGACACGGGTCTTAATCAGTATACCAAATCTGACATCGCATTTCCTCACCAAGTTGAACTAAAAGCCAACCTGGATGAAGTGAAAGCCAATCTAAGGGGCTTGAAAAATAAGCCCGGTACAACAAGGCCAGCAGATGTAACACAATATATTCGCAAGAAACCAGGCTACCCGAATAATATTGTCATGACATACGCCCTTACGCAAAAGGCAAGTATAGGACCCCCATTCACCCCTTCACAGCATGATACTCGCTGGACCCTAATTCGGGGCTCTACCATGAAAAGCTTAGCTAACAGAGTTTAGCGCTTTTTTGTTTTGGTCAATCTTGTCCAGCGACATCCGGTCGAAGAGCTTGTTGCCGAATTGAAACGGAGGAAGACAATTTCGAAAGAGCAGGTCTTGCGAGAAAGTACGCGCCCGGAACTATCATTGACAGGGTCATTGCTAATGCTTTACAGTGAGGAATAAAGCTGGTGATTCAGATATTGTCGCCACGTCCAGTGTTATGTCGCTCAAGTGCCCTTTATCAACGCTCCGAATAGAGGTTCCCTGTCGTTCTGTAATTTGCACGCACAATCAATGTTTCGATGCATCCTCGTTTTTGCAACTCCAGGAACAGGCCCCAACTTGGTCGTGTCCTGTCTGTTCTAAAGCGACGAGTTTTGAATCGTTGCAGATTGACCAGTAAGACAGAATCTCTTGGCTCGATTCTTTGTGCAGTTAGTGACATTTTATTACATAGGTACGTCGATGATATACTTCGTTCAACTTCTCTAGATGTCGAACAAGTTATCATAGAGCCAGATGGTCAATGGTCTAGCCCCAACCAGGAAGACTCTGCCAAAGTGGGCGGATTTACTCCGGCGACAGATGATGACGACGAGTTGATCGAAATACGGGAACCCGGGGTTACGCCTATCAAGCGAGAGTCATTCCCACCTACATCTCTCTACGTACACCAAACACCTACTCAGTCCCGAGAACCCTCAGCAACGTCATCTGCAGCTTATTTGTCGACAAACAAGCGTAATGCTGCCCAGGTGATCGACCTTACAGGAAGTGATGAGGAGGATGACACTCCGGTCAGACCCGTAAAGCGGCCAGCGTTTAATCAGATGAACCGGCCCTCGTCTCAGCAGGAATATTGCAACCCTTACAGCGGTGGCTATGTTAACGGAGACATCCAACTACCCAGCCAGCCTAGTTCTGATTTTCTTAGTCATGCCGGTGGTTATGATGCACGCAGTTATTGAAGCATACTTGCATAGTGTTGGGCGCATTCGGTTTCATGGGTATATCCACTACGCGAATTTATTGGGAGCATTGGACAAAGCATAATAGGGAGACAATGTTCTTTCAACTTCGATGGCCAACGAACATTTAGATCCAATATTCGTTTCACCAAAAACAAAACAAGAAAGAAAAATCCATAGCTATCGATCTCACAATGTCGCTTACGGGGATCCCTACGTAGTTTGGGGAGCCCAAAAAAAGTCTCCGTTGTAAATAATCCGCTGCGTTGAATCCTAGTGCTTCATTGCAGAAGGAAAGCACTCGTTATGCCGGCTTATTCATCGGAGTAAGGGGGCATGTCGGCATAACTAATTGGAAGGTACTTCGCAAGTAGATAGGGGCCGCTCCGTCGGAGCTTGCGATATGTCGGCGGTCACCATGCTTGGCTGGCCTACTCCGAGCCGCATAATCTCCGCAAAACAACCGGGTACAACAGTTATCTGCTATCACAAATTCACCGAGTTCACTTTATTCGAGTCATCCAGACCATCTTACGATAATCAGGCTCCCCCACAAACGTGGCCACCGTATCACCTTTTACAATGTCGTTGGATGCGCCGGCTTCATCCCTCAATGCTTCAGATCCACACGCGCGGCTCCTGGGTGCCTCATGCTTTGATTTCCTCCTGATAGAGCTCGTCCCTATGGCGGAGCGTTTAGCGAAGGAACTTGCTTCAGAAGATAAGCTACCAGATGATGAAGAAATCCGGGAAACTACATTCTTTCGCCTCGAATCTCTAGGTTACAGGGTTGGACAAGGGTTGGCTGAACGGTACGCTTGAAACCCCGCTACTTGAGTTTGCGACGTCTTTTCGGTCGTCCAAGTTATGCAACTATCTGCCGCAAGAGTGCGCATCAGTGCAACAGGATCACCGACAGACTCGCAGGTGTGCTATTGATCGAAGTCCCGCAGCTAACGCGTATCTGTTGTCCACCGGAGCAGATTCTCCCGCGATCGCCCACGATTCGCAGACAACCTGGATGTCATAAAGTTTCTGTGCAAGGACTTGTGGACGATACTATTTAAGAAGCAGGTGGATAACCTGAAAACGAATCACCGGGTAGGCAGAACCAAATGCGCTCTCAAATCCCTTTGAAGTGCCCTGGTTGGCTTTTTGGGGAGGCTAATACGTGCACTTTCAGGGCGTGTATGTCTTGACCGACAACTCATTTCGACCATTTGCAAGGATGAGTACATCTGTGCGAAGCGAGGCGGTGTCTATGGCTCAAGCGGTACGTTTGTCCTGAAGGATACATTCTTCCTAAAGGTCAGCCTTACATGATCTAACGACTTGCGGTATATCATAGTATTTATGGTTTCCATGCGGCGTTATTCGCGGTGCTCTATCAAACCTCGGTATTACAACCACTGTCCAGGCGGAATCTACAGAGCTTCCAGGTGCAACCTTTCAAATCAAAACCGTCAACCCCAAGCCCTGAAGCCGCTCATACATAGGCGGCTTTGAGCCCTATCCAGGCAGCCAACCGTACAATATGCATTCATCAAAGCAGGGCTTGGATGACAATGACATGCAGCAATCCAGGGATATCTGCTGGAGCTGCAATTCTCATCAACGGATTGCCGGATAATCCTACATTCAAGTGCGGGCATGAAGAATACAAGGTTTTATCATTTAAACAGGTCACTCGTATCTCGAAGTCATAAATCCTGAGTCAGAGCAATCCATCGACCAACGCCCGTCGTCTGCAGAGTCACATAATTCAAAGCCTATCTCCCCAGGATAACAATGATTAGCAGGGCTCCTTCCATGTCCGTGAACTTGTGATGCAACCACCGAAAGATATCTCCCCGGTGGTAAAGAGGTGCGATATTGGCATATCACTTATTGATGATTGGGAATCCTGTGACTCAGGGACTGGGGTGGGCGCGTTTACTTTGGTGGAGGGTTCTTGATGAATTCGATTCCCTTTTCGATGTTGCCCTTCAAGCCCTCAGTGCAGGTCTTGATGAGCTTCTGTTCCTGCTCGGTCACGCCCTCAAGAACATTGATGGCCTTCTCAGCTCCGTTGGTCTGTTTTTATCTAGTCAGAGTGATGTCCGATATTCAAATATGACGTGATGAATGACTTACGCCAAGTTCTACAAGGGTAGAGAAGAATTCCAGGCCGGTGGCCTTGGTAATCTCGTCACCGCCAGTGACACCAGGCAGATAGACAAAGGTAGGCTCGACGATACCAGACTGGCCTTGAGAAGCCTTGATAACGCTCTGAGCAAATCTTAATATGAGGTTAGCGCTGACACCAAATGTTTGTAAATGAGGGACTCAAACCTGAAGCCAGCGTAGGCCATAGACAGGGTCGCGGAGCCGGCACCATCCTTGGCCTTGACAACCTCATCTCCACCGAACTGAACGCCTGCATATAGTTCAGTAAACATTTCAATCGCTAAGAGTCTGCGCAGTTCACTTACGGTTGACAAGCGCATCGTACTTGTCTGCGGGGATCTGGAAAGCGGGGGCTGCCTTGCTGAAGAGGGGAACAATAGTCTCTCCCGAGTGGCCACCGACAACTGGGATGCGCACAGCAGATGGGTCCTTGTGGCCTGAGTATTCCTGGACGAAGGTCTCCGCGCGGACAACATCCAGAGTGGTAACACCAAAGAGACGCTTAGGGTCAAAGACGCCAGCGGCCTTGAGGACCTCTGCGGCGATGGGAACAGTCGAATTGACAGGGTTGGAGATGATCAAAACAAATGCCTTGGGGCAGTACTCGGCGATGCCCTTGACCAGGTCGCGCACAATACCGGCGTTGATCTTGAACAGATCATCACGAGTCATTCCAGGCTTGCCTATTTACGGCAACTTTGTCAGTCAGAAGCACCTCGGAATATGAGAGGTGGTTCACTCACGGGGAATCCCAGCAGGGATGACAACAATGTCAGCACCGGTCAAGGCGTGCTTCAATCCATCATCCTTAGGCAGGAATCCGGAAATTTTCTATCGACAATGTCAGAGGTAAAGCCAGATTGTCTGGTGGAGATAGGGAGCGGGTTGTGACACGGTCACACATACGGCGACAGAGGAGATGTGAGAAAGGTCGGCAGCGACACCGGGGGTGTTCACAACATCGTAGAGCGCGAGGTCGTCAACCAGGGGGCTTGTCTTAAGCAGGAGAGACAGAGGCTAATCGATCATAAGCACATGGGCAGTCAGTAAAAGTTAAAGAAAGTAACAGGCCTGCATCGCGGGCTGCAGTTCTGGTAGGAGCAAATGAGGGGCACGTACCTGGCCAATGCCACCAGATGCTCCAAGAACAGCTGTCGAAATGGATTTAGTCCGGGGTCGTTCTCGTTTTAAAAAGCGGGGTCAAAATGCAGGCGCCGTGAAGACTACTCACCCGCTTTAACCATTGTGATTTTTGAGAACTTCTCTTATGGCAACTGTGACAAAATCTATACACAAAGGTGAAGAGGAGCACGCAAGATTAGTGTGGGTATCAAACAAAAGGGAGAGAGAGATGTTTGAGAGTGAAAGAGGAGAAGAAGTTTGGGAAGGAACTAGTAGGGAGGAGGGGGGAACACCCAGATGATAAAAAAAAGAAAAATAAACGAAATAACAGGGGGAGGGAGGGGAAGAGGGGGGTGGAATTGGAAAGGGAGGGGTTTAGTTTGAGGAGGGGGCGGGGTGCTGTTGCTGCAGCTGGTGGTGGTGGTGGTGGTGGTGGTGGTACGGTCACGGTGAACAGGTCGGGGCAAGTGGCAGCACAGGGATTAGGAAGGATCGGGGGATCACTGGCTCAATCCTAGGCTCATATCATACTTACTAATAGTATTTTCTTCCAAAGAGGAAGAAGAGAGAGAGAGAGAGACGATAATGGGCAAGAAACAATGAATAGATAGATAAGGAAATATGTTAATGGGCAAATTATTTTCCAATTCGCATCGACAGAGGGAGAAGCTCCAGGACCATTATATACTACGGAAACCGGACGGAGGATCACATGTGGGGTTTAACCATGAAGCTGTCTTGCTAACTAGACCACTGGACCACTGGGCTATGTCTCCAGTGACCGAGATCCAGCCCATCCGCGGGTGTCCCCCAAAGGGTGCCCGGGCCCCCCTCCCCAATACCATTGTTCCCCAAACATCCAGTCGCCTTTAGTCGTACACTCGGCAACCCAGGAAGGCATGTATGAACATAGTTACATACAAACCCAGCGGGCATCAAGTGAAGTGGAGTTATTACTCATTTCTACGGAACCCACCCCCGAATTATGCTCCATCCAGTACATGATATACTTCACCATCAAGCATGTAGTTCCCGCAAGCTGACTTGTGCTTAATCAAGGCCAAAGCACCTCATTACTACCATTACAGACCTTCCCCGGGTCCGTGTGGAACAAAGTCATCAGGCACACGCCAAACCTTTCCTCCGTAGTCCGGACATTCTATCTTTGCCTTGAGAGCCGGATTGTTGCTTCCGGTTCACGGGTGCTTAGTCACTTCTGGAGTCGTTCAGATTCATCCCTCGGATGTAGTCCTCCCCCATAACACGCCGCCCCAGATTCCGGCAATTCTCGTCGACTCCTTCGTTCCAGAGTCCACAGCGAAGGAATATACCGGTTTGACCGGGGATTCCATCAAGGTTTCGGGAAAAGGCGGATATCAAACTTGTCTCACGGTAACTTTGCGGTTAGATACGTGCTTACGACATCGGTTCTACATTCTACTTCGGCCCGACAGGCGGCAATAAACAGCCTACCAAAATATGGCCAGGGGACGTCACAGGCAGTTGCAAGCGGAAGGCTGATTGTTTTCCCGTCAGTCCGATTGTTACCACTTGTGTTCAAAATCGAAGATGGCAATTCTTCCATTTCCCCATTCATTTTGTTGATGTTGTTGATGAATTTCCCAAGATTTTTTTTGGTTTCCATTCTGAATGGCCTGGCCGGAGAACAATGCCCCCCTTGGTAGCAGTATTGCTAAATTACATAGATGTTACCGCCCTTGGCCAGCACGGCGCTTTTCTGGTCGATCATCCCGACCAACTCTCATGACATCATGCCTCCTGGCCCTTCCCGGAAAGAGATAGTTGGCATTTACTCCGACTTCTCCTCGGCCTTTCTGGCCTTAGCACCACGGGGCTTCTGGGCGGGAGTCTCCTTCTTGGCCTTCTGGGAGCGACGGATGGCGCTGACACGGGCGACGGCGTCCTCACGGACATCAGCACGGTAGCCGTTCTTGGCAGTCTTGTCGGCAACACCCTTGTAGATCCTACGCGAGAGCAGTATCAGCAAACTGTCGCGCCTCCCTCACAGAAATCACAGCACGCCAACTGCTCATATCGACTTACTTGCGGGTGGAGGCGTTAGGGCCGTAGGTCACGGTAACGACGTTCTTGGCAGGCTGCTGGGGGTTGCTGGGCTTCTTGGTGATGACAGCAACACCGCCGTTCTCAGTGGCCTGGACACCGACCGCCTGTTATTGCAGCGTTAAACATCCAATCCCCAACGGTGAAAATCTCTATGACATGAAGCGCGGGTAAAGTACCTTGGTGTTGGCATAGCCGGCGTACTAAACAGGTGATTCGACATTAGCACGAGAACATAACCCAGACCTTATGTCCAGGGTCCGTACCTTGAAAGAGTGCTTGTTCTGCAGGTTCAGGGGGTCTCGGGAGAACTGAGAACCACCGCCGCTGTTACGCTTGACCAGATAAGCATTCTGGGTGCCTGTTGAGGTAGTCGTAACATTAGCCGGAGAAGACGAGGCGCGAAACGGCTCCTAGGGTTTCCATTGGGATAAAATATGCGTAGGAAGGTGCTAGTGACGTACGGGTGAGCTGCCAGATGAGGTCGCTGGAAACGTTGGCGGCCATTTTGAATGTCTCTTTCGAAGCTTGGGTGGGGGATGAGGACAGTTCCAAATCGTCGCAAGTCCGTTCGGTATATACCAGCTACGACTTAATATCTAGCCCTTAGAAGGTTTCAGTTGTGTGTGCCAGCGCCAAGAATTCCAACGCTGAGAGCCTCGCTAAGCGGGCCGCTTTAGGAATAGACCCTTTTTCAAGGCGGTTCGTTAGATGCCCGTGAGTGCTGCCTGAGAACGGGGGCCGCCGCCTGTCGTTCCAGCCGCGTCCGCGCCCTCGACCCACTTACACCTTCCGCGCTCTTCCATATGCGTACACTTACGTATGACCCGACTGTCTATCATTGTTGTCTAAATGCCTCCTAAGTAGCAGGCTCTGGCAAGACGCCGGCCAGACTCGAGTACTGTATATCGCTTATCCCTGTGAATGGTCTTATTCCTGTCGCTTTAGGGGAATTGAAGCCTGACTCCCCGCTGCGCTACGCTTTCATTTCATCTACCTATCTAGCCTAATCCCCGCTGCGGTTTAGCAGCGCCTGGTAACCCTCGTTGACCATGGCTTACTACCTTCTCTACTTCCTCACCATATCAGTTGTTGTGTGTGGCACAGGTATGCGAAGCTTCCAGCCTCTCAATCTTGCAAGTCATCCAAGCCTTCCTTCCTGACCTGCCTTTAGCGCTCTACCTCACCCGGTCCCGATGGCTACATCTACTGCCCGTTCCCGACTACATTTACGATCGTCTCCCCTCGACGTTTGCTGGCGATGTGGAAGCTGGTCTGGTCTCATCCGAGTTTGATATCTCCGCCAATATTGCCGAGGGTGACACCAGGGCGGGCTTGGATGATCAGGCCAAACGTGAAATCTTACGGATCATGAAACGGCGAAGAGTGGATTTCAACGAAGGTCGTCGGATTTACATGGAGCAGCGCTTTTCCAAAAACAATATCGGTCCTGATGGCCGACCTAGGGACCCAAAGTTCGTGTCGTTTTCTTGATGACATTTGCATCACAGTCGCTTGGTTTCACTTTGCCCTCGTTCGTTTTCCTATTTCCCTTCGACATATGCTTCTCACCAGCAGACTCTCCTCTACTTATACCCTTTCCTTTACTGAATGATTTCAAGACTCCTTTGCAGCGTGTAGAGTATGTTTACTATTGCCGTCAAAATTTAGTGTTGGCCTCCCTGCTTGAAGATTGACTTGATATCTTGTGTCAACTTTAATTCATGACTTGGTGGATCACTGCTGGCAACTAACTCTCAGTTACCATACATGGGCATCTGAAATGCTGTAGTGTTTCAATTTTTGTATTCATTGCTACCACTCAGCATAAATGAGATATCGAGAACTGTGGACATCAGATTTGATTATTCAGACACATTCCTCCTTCTTGTTGAACGTTAATGCTGATTGGCATTTCAATCTTGCCATGTGTAATTAGCGGATATGTCAGTTTTATCCCGTGAGTTGAGGCATCTTGAGCCGTTCATTATCGGGCGCGGTTTGTATTCTTCCGTAGGGCATTAACAGCTACTCGGTTGTGGGTCGTTACATCAAGTCGAGTATTTATCATCCGACGATCCAAGTAATGGTTGACAATGATGGAATTGTTCTTTTTATGTACCACCTCGTCTTCGGTTCAAGCCAAGGTAGTTGACCTAGGATGCTCAGCGCCCGCGGCCATAGCCAGGTTGCTGGAATCCCGGGGGCAACGGAGGTGGAGGACCAGGAGTTCCTGCCGGTGAACCGAACCCTGGGGGAGCGAAGCCTGGCGGAGGTGCTGCTTGAGGGAAGGGAGGTTGCTGACCAGCACCATTGAATCCCGGTGGGAGGAAAGACTGCGGCCCCCCATATCCGGCCTGAGAAGGCGGCGGCCGTGCTGGTAAACCGGGGGGTGGGTTCGCCAGAGAAGCAGGTGGAACCGGTCGGCTTGCTTGTGGAGGAGGTACGTTTTGGAACGGTACATTCGGAGGAGCCATGCCTCTGCCCATATTAAGGTCCGGTGGATTAGTACTCATTGGCCGAGAGCTGTCACCATTGGCCATCGCAGCAGGCACCATAGGTGTCCCTGGGTTGGAGAATTGAGGAGGTAGCGGCTGGGTCGGCGGGCGCACGTTATGTTTGCGAGCCTGTGCTGCCAGCATTCGTTCTGCTTCATCACCGTGGCGTTCACCTTTCCCGTCCTTCTTATAGGCGTATTGCACGGAGACCTGCTTGTTCATAAGATATTGGCCGTTCATGTTGGTTATGGCCGCGTCTGAAGACTCGAAGTCGGCGAAAGACACAAATCCATAGCCCTTTGACAGATTGTTATCATCTCGCGCAATCTATGTAGCAGAAATTGTTAGTAAATTACTCGAAAGCCACGGTGCCGCATGGCACTCCTATAGCAGGGACGAAGAGATCCTACCTTGGGAATATTGACCAAGTTTCCAAAGCGGCTGAACGTATCATAGAGAACTTGTTCCGTAACCATGGGATCAAGATTGCCGACGAATAGCTCTGCTCCAATCTCCACCGACTTTTGCTTGTCGGCCGATGCTTTGTTGACGCGGATGGGCTTTCCATACAAGCGGATTCCGTTCATGATTCGCGACGCGTATTCAGCATCTTCCTCGCTGATGAATTCCACGAATCCGTAGCCTTGATGCGACTGTGTGACTCGATCTTTCGGTAGGTGAACGTTAACGATGCGCCCGGCCTGCAGCATCAGCTCCCATACCAGGCTATCTGTGACCCGTTCATCGAGGTTTCCGATGTAGACGGTGGCCTCTTTGTCTTGCTCCCTATTCCAACAACTGTAAGTACCGGCATTGTGGGAATGTATATTCAGATGGAGTGAAGAGAAGCACTTACCAATGCCTTGCGCCGGACATAGCGCCTAGGTATTACTCTTGCTCTTGAAGAGCCCCCTCGATGTGGATGAAAGCGAATGAACAGGAACAGAAAGATGGGGGAGGCGTTTGAATCAGCTAGAAGAAGACTAACTACAAATTGACAAGAAAGAATTGGGTAGTGAGGATATGTTGAAAGGTCAATGAAGGTACTGGGAGAACAAGGGCTGGAAGGATGATCGCTGGAGACTCGGACTCCAGGTTATCGGCGGAGCTTTTACTGACCCAACTTTAGCCCCGGAAAACTTTGAGCTTCACCTCCCCCGTCTTTCCCGTCACTCCGTCACTCCGTCAACCCTTCCGCCTTTCCCACTCTCAAGTTCACGGACATCAACAGCAGGGAAATTCTCGTGTTTATTATCACAGCCTTCGTGCAAGTTTAAGCCGGCAATATGGTCCAGTTCTCCGAAGAAACCAAGGTTAGTCTGCGGTGCTCTGTTGCACGTCCTACATAACTAGTCACGCTTGATCTCGGTATGCTAACGGATATGCCTTTTATTTAGGAGCGTATCTCCAAGGTCATTGACGCCTCCAGAGTTGCCATTCACTAGTTCGTCGCATCTTGATCCTTTCGACCCATGTGTCCTGACCAAAGCTGACGGTTATGTTTGCATAAGTGGATACCTGCCGTTGATTGTTTATCTCGGTACGTGTGGTGGAATTATTTTTCGATGGATTTGTCGGGGACCTTTATGATGGAAGTTTCATTGCTAACGGATATGGAATAGGATACACTTACAGTGAACCCAAGCCTTCTCTGTTCAAGTATGAGCGACTGCGCCCTGCCGACGCTTCCCTACGATTTCAACCCACTAACGCTACATATAGGCTGTTCTCGCCGCTCGCCTAGAGGAATGAGTTGCTTCAGAATACGGAAACGATGAATGTCCATCCACCAGACACATGCAACGCCTGAAATCTCCCTCTGCAGTTTAGACAGACAAATAAGACTGCCTGTCGGAATACTAGCGGATTCTGAGAAACCTCTTTCATCTCAACCCCTCGGGTCGATGTTGACAACTGGAAGTCTACATCGATGCGCATGTACTTTTAAACTACGATCAGTTTTCATGCTTTGTATTGGTTAACGCGAATGTTTTAATTTCATATACAGGTCCAGGGCAGGACCGAGGATACATGCAAAGGGTTTCCGGAAGACTACATTAATAAAGACTTGCGTAAGCTCAACTGATGCACTTTGAAGCAGACTCCAGATCCAAAGACTAGGATATATGATCTTGTTTCTTGTAGTGAATAGTCGTAGGAAAATGTCTCTTCAGAAGTATCCGGTTGTTTCCCTCGGACATTTGGGGCGCTTCGGCCCGCCAAGCGCAATGAACTCGACTCTTAGCTCCAGCTCAAATCTTTTGGCCAAAAGAATTCCGGACCGAATCCGGACTTCTTCAATCCTCCCGACACTTCCGGCTAGAATCTCAAACCCCTGCAAGCGGCACATTCCAGGAGGACTTGAAGGGTTAATGACTGGCAAGGATGGCTTGTCCTCGTCCTTTGTGGAGACCGTAGCGGGATTCACGGCCGGAATCGCTTCGACGCTCTGCCTGCATCCGCTAGATCTGATCAAGACCCGGCTTCAAGGTTAGTGTTGCATCTCTCGGGGGGAAAAAAAAAGACGAGACGTGAAGCGGATCAATCACGAATGTCAAATCAGTATTGAAGCTATGGCTGACGTAGTATCAATCTGCTATATCTTCTAGTCGACCGATTATCCTCTTCGCGTGTCGGCGGTTCAGTCCCAGTAATCCGCGAGATCTTCCAGAATGAGAGCGGCATCAAAGCCTTCTACAGAGGTCTGACACCCAACATAGTGGGGAATTCCACAAGTTGGGCGCTGTACTTCTTGTGCTACGGCAACATCAAGGATGTAATGCGCACCTGGCGCAGTGGTTCTGAAGACCAGGCCCTCACCTCGGCCGACTACTTCCTAGCCTCAGGATCTGCAGGTACGCTCCAGAAGCAAAAAGGAAACACACCTGCGATGTCTTTTCCCCCCAAGAAAGCACCGATCAGGCAGTTCTGAAACGGCAGATGAGGCTAATTTGCGGAATTATGATTCTCACAGGGATGTTGACGTCCGCGCTAACCAATCCGATCTGGGTGATAAAAACCCGCATGCTGTCGACAGGATCCCAGAGCCCCGGAGCATACGCGTCGTTCACAACGGGAGCAAAGGAGATTCTTCGCTCGGAGGGTATTGCGGGCTTCTATCGGGGCCTGGTTCCAGCTCTGTTTGGAGTCAGCCATGGTGCACTTCAATTCATGGCGTACGAGCAATTGAAATTGTATCGCTCCCGCATGGCTCCTCCGGCCGGAACAACTGACCTTGAACGAGATGCTGGTTCGAGTCATGTGTCGTCGCTGTCATCGGACGCGGTCCGGTCGGGGATACGGGAGCTGGGAAATGTAGACTTATTCGTGATCTCCAGCTTGTCGAAACTGTTCGCCGGGTGTGTTACCTATCCATATCAGGTGTTGCGGTCTCGCTTGCAGACATACGATGCTCACCTCGTGTATTCGGGCGTCAGGGATGCCGTTGCTCAGATTTGGGCCAGAGAAGGTATCACTGGCTTCTACAAGGGCCTTGGCCCCAATTTGCTGCGCGTGTTGCCCAGTACGTGGGTCACTTTCCTGGTGTATGAAAATACCAGAGCGTACCTACCAGGGTTATTATCCAACCTTTGATAGAGAGGAATTTGTTGCCTTTTTCCGCGCGGAAAGCGGAGGCAACTACGTCTACCTATCGGACATATGTCACAGCTGCTCAGATCTCGCATCCGCCGGCTCGTGTCTAGGTTGTCCCTTGTACCTTATATGATCTTTGTGTATATATATGCGTTAAGGCTCCTGCCGCCTGCAATCAATAATGTCTATTTGCCAGAAATGGGTATGTATTATATTTGGAGTTGTAGGGGTTGTAGTATAATCATATATATCAACATGTTGAGAACCAGAACGTACTAAACGGGCTTTACCCGCCACAGGTATATATGTCCAGAAAAGAAAGAAAAGAGAAGGGGAAACCACGCTGATGTACATAAGAAGAGTCTTCAGGCCGAACGAAACATCTGGGAAAGCCCTATTCCAGGCGAACATCATATTCAACATGATATGCGGGTTATATGAGGCAAAACGGATTAAACACGAACGAGACTGGTATCGTAGTAACAAATGAGGGCAATGTAAATGATGCGACAAGATTCTAAAATTGTGGAGAAAGCCGGTATGGTATGTCAATGAGCCTGCCTCTCAATATAATAAGGTTCTGCGTCGTCATCATCGCTGCTAGAACCCCCGTTATACATAGATGTATCCTCATAGCTTGCTCGGCGCATCTTGTCATCATTGCTGCTGAGAGGCTGGATCCTTCTGCGGGAGCCGGAGCCGGGATCAGACCGTGAAGTAGGCGAGATCCTGCGATCTTTCCCGCGCCCCTTGATTCCTTTGTTGCTGTTCTTGTACAACGTAGCAAAGTATTCCCAGAGCTTCCTGTCTTGTGGGCTCATGTGATCTCCCTCTGTCACTTGTGAGAATTTTAAAGTAAGATTTCGTAGGGTTGTGGCATGGAACTTGTTCTGGTGTGACTGTTATACTAGTCAGCTACTATTGAAGGTGTTGGTTTCAGAGTTGAAGATAATTGATCTCCGCACCTTGAGGTTTCCAAGCTGGGTAAATTGCTTTCCGCAGTCATCCAGGAGACAGGTGAAAGGTTTGGCATGTTGATGTGTAATCTTATGAGCACGAACGTTGCCTCGTTGAGCGAATCGTTTCTGACATATATCACAGGAGAATGGCTTTTCCCCAGTATGGCGTCGTTGATGAGTCTAATCACCAATTGTCTCCGTTAGAAAATCTGCAGCATCTTCGATGGCGTTGAAGCTCTCTTTATAGAAAACTATCTTGGGGAACATCCCATGACTTACCTTCAGATTACCCAACTGAGAGAAGCGCTGTCCACATGATGGCTCTTTGCACACCTTTTCGTAAAATATTAGTGTCATATCTCAGAAATTCTCGATTCTCATGCCACCTACAAAGGGCTTGTCCCCCGTGTGAGCCCGCATATGAATATCCAGGTGCGTCTTCTGCGCGAAGCTCTTGCCGCACTGTGGTAAAGTGCAAGCATACTTGCGCTTTTTGCCTGATCTCGATGGAGCCTCTTCGACCATAACAGTGCACCTTGGGGTCGTCACTGGCATCGTATAACTCTGAGGGTATCCGGTGCTTCCCCCGTGTGTCAACTGTTGCAGTGGTGGCAGAGACTGCACTGCTGGTGACTGAGCACTGGCTTTGGCCTGAATTGCCTTCATCAAGATATCCACCTCCGTGGAGAACTCAACCTCGTTGGAGCTGGAGCTCTTCCCCTGTGCACCTCCTTCGTTACTCGAGGACTGGGCTCCGGGAGGTTGTTGTGAGCCCCCGTTGTGCTCGACCTTCATTAAAGGATCCCTGGCTACCCGGTTAACGGCATTTTTGGCCGGCCGAATATCGGGAATTTGCTGGATGGATGGTGGCTCAGAGGATAGACGGACCGGCTGGGGGTTGATCGGTTGCTGGCCGGCGACGAAATAATGCTGGTAGCCCGGATGATGGTGGTGATGATGGTGGTGGTGGTTGAGTGTGTGTCCGAAGCTATACGCAGGGGACGAAGATTGATGGAATGGAAGCGTATAGCCACCAGTCGGATTGGTATAAAATGGAAAGTTGTGGCCGACATTCGAGCCCATCATTCGACGAGGCGCAACCGCCCCAACGGCATGACCGGGAAATTCGTATGACACTGGTTCTGCAGTTTCCATCTCGACGAAATGGCGATAATAGGGTTGCTGGACTTTGCGTTCTCTCCACCACAAGGCCTCAAAGCGCCTTTATCTCCTGCTGAGCTGATTGCAAGCGGTTGGAGAGCAAGATGAGCGAGGAAACAGAGACAGCAAGATGGACCGATGAGAAGAACAGGATACTGCCTGCTATAACGTCTCAGTAACCCATCTACAATATGTGAAGCTATCTTCGCGGGGTAAGTCGTATTGAGTTGGAAGACTTGTCACTCACCCACTCTCTTCGAAAGACAGAGCCTAGACTGCTTGTTGATAATGACACAAAACAAGGGAAGGTTATGATGAAGTGAAGAAGCAAACAGGTCGGGAACAAGCAAATAAAATATATAGGGTATCAAGTCAAGATCAAGATCAAGATCTCAAAAAGCAAACATCAGCATCAGCAATGGAATTTGAGTTCCCCACAAGCTGAGCGTGTCCCTGAAGGAAGAACCGACCAGAGTGGCTCCAGATGTATATAAGCTCTTGAGTAGGGCAAGAAAGAAGAGTGGAGAGAGGGACAATGGATTGTAGCCGGCAGTCGCAACGAGGTGGGCTATGACATTGATTTTGACAATGGGGGATCACCAATAAGCAAATATATGGCTTGATTCTTCAGCCTGTCTTCTTGGGTAAGGTTTATTCGGCTTTTTTTTTTTTTTTATTAATTTCCTTTCTTTTTTCCTCTTCGCTTTTCCTCTCTCTGTGTGTATTTCCCTTATTTTGTTCGGGCCGTCTTGATTCCCTTCTAATTAATTGCTCTTTAGTTTATTTGTTGAATCGGGAGAAGAGAAAAGAAATATGAAATAAGAAAGAAGAAGAAGAGTAGGGAAGAGAACAACACGAATAACAAAAATAATAAATATACTAATTTGCATTGGTTAGTTTCCTTGGACCCTCCGGAAAGATTGAGGTCGGTGATCTAGAACTAAACTACTACTAGATATACATCGCTAGCCATTCATCCACCCTCCCTTTCTCGGTGTCCCAGAGCAGTGGAAGCAGCGGGGTGGCCAGTGACAGGGATCTGGCCTGCTAGTTTAGTTGGTGCTAAGCAAGCTGAAGGCTTGTACGCACCAGAATAGGAAAAGTAACAGGCAGCTGAGGTATGGGGGTGGTTTCTTTTCTTGAATTGGGGGGTGGGTGTGGGTGTGGATAGGCATGTATGACTATGTATCATTGTATGAATGTATGGAGTTGTATTTAAACAATTACGTATTGGATGTATGGATGTACGACAGCACTTGTCATGGATGTATTGGATCTCAATACGAAGCCTCTCGGGGAAAAAAAAAGGGGGGAGGCAAATGATGAATGACTGAATGAATGACAGGCTAATGACGATACCATTTGGATATGAGAAATACATCA